CGGCATTTGATATAAACCTCGCCAGCTTAGTACCTTATTTTACCTACGCATTGTAAGATCTCGAAAATGAACGAGTGTTATTAGTTACATATCCCTACCTTACCGCCTCCTTCCTATGAGGCATTGAAAGCAATATGCTACCTACTCGACTGGGATGGTCGGTCCTATCGATCGCCTAAGGCATCCACCCGTCCCGATAATATTTCTTCCAAAATCATTAGGAACACAAAAGTCATATCTAATGCTTCTCCAAGTAATAGTCTGGCAGTTCGTCGGTCATAAACCTTTCCTCTCTGAATGGAAGGTTGGAAAATGTATTCCGGTAGTCATGAACGGTGATCACGCGCTTTCTTGAAACAATACGCCAACGGGTGTCCTTGACGTCACGCTGTAGCAGTGGCGTTGCTGTTGGCACGCCTCATGCGTCGACTTTTATACGAATTTCGTTTCTGCTCACACACAGTCCTCACACATCGTGTGGGAAGTGTGCATTTGCCAAAACCTCGTGTGGGGTTGTTTGTGAACCGGGCGGTGTCCTATTAGCGACGCGCGCGAACAAAAGCGTCGCTGTGGTCGCAATTCGAGATGGATAGAAAGCTCACTGAGACGTCTGTTTGAATTAATTCTGTTTTTTTTTTGTGTGTGTGTTTTGATTGACGGTAAACAGAGCAATTCCAGATTGTTAGCTGTGAAGATTTCGTTTTAACGCGCGTTGCCTGGAGCGGATCTCGACGGGTGTGTTTTGTGTCCTAACACCCAGAGTTCCGCTAGAAGGTTCTGCACTCTCTGAACGGCAGTGCTCTCCGATCTTCGTGTTTCTTTTGAGTCTGACTGTGCTTAAAGCGTCATGGTTACGAAATCTTAATTGGACCTAACTTAACTTCCAACACGCAGTAAATATTCGCTCCTCTGCCTCCTTTAGAAACTTAGCTACCATAATCCCGACATCACGACTCAGAGTGACTTCTATCACACGAGTCATCACCATCTGGTAAATGAACTAGATTACGGTAGAAACATTGCCTTTCCAAAGAAATGTACTTTATTTGAAATCAATACGCTGTGCAGAAATTTAAATTCAAAGCTCCCAACATCTATCAATGCCACACCAGTATTAGTGATCATTTGTATGGGAAAAGTGACCGAAATGAAATGGTTGCAGGTTGATATATGCTGCGCAGGTGGTCATGTGAATACTTTCGATTTCTTTTTCCCGTCTCTTTTTTCGGTTCGGAGTTATTTTATTTAGTTCACCTCAGAGTATATGGCAAAATGTAAGGTAGGTACTGAATATCATTCACTTAAAAATAGAGGCGTACGTCTTGATCAAATGCAATGGAGGCTAGAGTGGTATTTATGCTTCCGCAGCGGCGCTGCCGGAGGGGAATATTTTATGGCGTCTCGTCTCGTACGTATGTTGAAACTAGGACCATGACTGCAACGCAACATTATCTTTTGTGAAGTGGCTCGTTAACGTTTTCTCCTCAATGTCTTCAAAGCAACCTCGGAATAAAATAAAAGACACAGCCAATAAGTGGTTGGATTGTGTTCTTGTGACGTTCTGGCGTTGCTGGAAGCGTGAGAAAATAAACAACGTCAAACCGGCGCGGTTCTCGCTCTGAGTCGTTTCGTTGAGTTGTGTGACTCGAGAAAGGCGATAAAGGAATTCCATTACTATGGCCAGTTCTTTGTGTACTGCGCATTCATGCTTCAATGAGGCTTGCCGCCTTTTGTGCTCCAAATATGCGCAACGGTCACTAGTAATGCTCAGCCGCATAGGCTTATGTAAATATCCTGCATATGGCTTCGTCTGGGCCGTAAAAAAGGAAGCCCTGTGTTGTAACAGGGCGCTACTTTTATATTTCTCGGACTGTGGAGCAACGTGGGCCGCTGCCTCGACAAACGCTGCCGACCGAGATGACAAATACGCTTTGTGTGAGACGCAACAAGCCCTAGAAAGAACAAAATGTTCAAAAACATAGTTTTGCATAGTTATTTTTTGTTGTTCTCGTTTTTATATTTTTCCTCTGAGTTCTGGACTCTAACGTGGACTGGGCACCCATAAAGCTCGATTTCATTAAACCCTGTCCCTTCTGTTCTCATTGAAGAAATATATGACAACATTGGTATGATAAACCGATAGCTTTTTTCCTCGCATCATAGTTGCCTTCTAGCAGCTTTGGCAAACAGCACTATTCAATCTACACACGTTAGAACTATAGATTTAATCCGGGCGTCTAGACGCAAGGATTCGAGTTGAAAAACGTCTCATGGTGTTCTTTCTGTTTTCTTCGTTCCAGCTCCTATCTGTGATGAAAGTGGTGATCTCACGTAGTGCGTGAAAAAACTTCGTAAAGGAGCTTTACTTTCTGGAAGCAGGACTTATAGCGCTCAAGATTTTAAGCTGAGATTGAAGTTTTACTGAGAGAAAGGAGGATACTTGCTTTTTGGTAAGTCTGGAGTTCCGTGTTTTATGAAACAGTACACTGATAAAAAGTTATAATGTTTGTGACAAAAAGCAATTCAGAATTTCTACCAGCTTAATTTGAGAAACATTGTAAAGTTGGCGCTTGCTGCGTCTAAGCCATTTTCCGGTTTTATAAAATTTTAAAAAGTTCCTGTTTCACAACCTGGAAACTAAATCGTAAGGTCAAGTTGAAAGTGATAGGGGCAAGTATTTCTGCAAAATTAGAACTCCGTTTTAGAATACGCCCACTACACAGTTAAATAATTTTGCTGTAAAATATAATGTACTTAACGCATGACGTTGTCGGTTATCTAAGGTATATATTCTAATGAAATAGGTTTACTTGAAAGTGAATTAAAGGGCATAGCTTGGTTTGCTCTCAGATGCCGCGCATTTGTTTGGGGTGACTTATTGCTATTCAAGGAATAAAATGTTACTTTAATCCCTCGCTGATATTAAAGTGTAGCTCTGGCCATCGATTGGCAAACTTTACATAATTTGAGAATCAGTCATTACGGATTAAGTCATAGCCAGTCACAAAATTGCAGTTCAAAATCTTGAAAAACAAATCCAATAAACTTGTAAAAAAATTCGCGACATTCAATGCAGTTTGCGAATCTTATTTTCGTGCATTATGTCTCATCTACAGGCGTGTAAAAAGCGCTAACCGTTGGCTCGACGAAAAAAAAAATATTCCATACTGCCGCCTTCCATAAAATCTAACATTTAACTGTTGGAGTATTTTTATTATAAAATGTTTTAATTTCTCCACTCAATTTTGGTGTCGTAAGTTAGATCATGCGACCTTTTTGACTTGACGAAATCAGGGCACGCATATCCCGGGCTAAGCAGATGCAAATGCAATTGTATTCGGTCACTATTGCGTGTCTTTATTTTCTCAACGTTCTAGCGTTGCCGATAAACTTCACATGTGTGCACGTTCTTAAAGGCTACGAGAAGTACAAAAAGTTTTAGAACAAATATTATACTTTACAATTTTTTTTTTTAATTTGCTTACAAGTTGTCTTAAAGTTTCGAAGAGAAAGTTTTTATTAAATCAAGGAACTTCTTTGAGGACGCGGCAAACACGTCGGGGGGGGGGGGGGGGGGGGGGGGGGGGGGGGCACGCCTTCCCGGCTTTATGAGCTTGTAGGTTTTATGTTTGGGTCAGCGCCTCGGGTGAGCAAATATAAATATTTCTCGGTCGTGTTTGGGTTATAATGGGTGAGTACTTACGCTTTTTCACGTTGCTAGCTGACGGTAAGCTGGTAGAATTTCATTCCTCAATGCCAATTTCCAAAAAAAAGAGAACACAAAAGCTTAGAGAATAGCATTATCATCGTTTGGATAGAACACTGGAAGTGCGAGCTGCATTTGTTTTTGTATATATAAACGTTTTGTTATATCTTTCAAAGAAGCTGTTACCGCGCGTAGAGAGATGCTGACACAGAGGCTTGTAAACGAGTGTGGCTCGTGCATGGTCAAAGGCTCCAGTGCTGGTTTGCTCGGTACAAGCATTAAGTACACTCTCGTGTGTTAGGGTCGCGCTCGCGTTCCCTGGCCAAGAGACAAAGACCTATCGCAATACAGTGATTCTGGTTTTAACGCGATAACGTTAAAAAGCTCGTGTCGCAAAACATCGGTGGCGTGGCAGATATGCCGGCCTCGGTGTCGTGACGCCAAAATCCTGATTGGTTGATAGGGTGATGACGTCAGAGCCACATGACCTCGCTCGGGAATTTCAAAGAACTCACAACGCTCACGGGAAAGGTGACGTCACGCCTGGAATGAAAGTGATTAAAAACATGACATGTAACACGAAATAAAGCTCGCCGCGTATCTCCAATGATTTTCCTTTAAAAAAATGAAAGCCCTTTACAACTCCCTGTAACGCCGAATCAGAGCGCAGCTCTTGAGGACGTGGAGGGAAGGGTAATGAGGGGAGGGTATATTCATCCTCTCTCCACCTCCCTCGTGAGCCTGCCTGCTACTCCTGAACGATAGAAATGGATTACTCCATTTTTCGGAGTAATGACAATTCGGATTCGTCCCCCGTGCTCATCCTCCCTGCTCCACTCCTTTCTCCTCCTCCCCTCACGGGGACCCCGTGACCCCCAGGTCACGTGACCTGGGGTCGACACGTGCGTGACCTCACGTCTACGCCGACGGCGACGCCGCTTAAGCTGGAAACGGGCGCCTAAAAGCTGCGCTGTAAAAGTAATTTATTTGCCTTAGAATACATGTGAACCATTCTAGGAGGGGATTTCCACCCAAGATTCTTCGGCTGCGAGCCAGACACGCTACAGACTAGGCCATGTCCTCCGTGCTCCCCGCTCACTGACAGGGACAGCATCAGAGGTGAATGAGAGGGCGATGCGAACAGAACCCGACGACGCTATCGGGTTCCACTCTTAAAGGCGAAGCTTTAGCGTCCTCCAATTTTTTTACTATTTTTCTGGCTTCGTTTCGCTCGCAGTCTAGGAGGGTTTCGCGACTTGGCAAATTGTTTTATGAAAAAGTGTGAATCACTCACCACGATGGACGCTGTGATTGGTCCTCGGATGATCCAGAACAAGTCTTGCCTGACGTTGGTTGTCCAGCAACTGTTGGCCAAAGTACCCCAATTCTCTTTGTCCCGGTTAATATTAAAAACTATATCCAAACATTTAGGTGCTCAAATTAAAAGCCTAAAAAACAAAGAAAAAAAGGCTCCGTTTGTTTTTTGCAGTCTTACGATGGCTGTCTGGGTCTGATAATAAAAGCTGTGCTCCATTTCAAACTAAGTCCGAGCGCTACGACACTACGATAAAATGTAGTCAACAAAGCAGCACTAAAAGTGCATCTCCCGTCGTCTTTGAGCGTTTACTTTCACCGGCTAAACTAAACACGCACAGTCAATGGGTCGTGATCTTGCCCTCTTTGTTTTTCTACGGGTGCACGGCATCCAGCACGACCTCGCTGCCTTCAGTTGTAGTTTAAATCTGCGTGCGCGATTGAAGCGTCATCAAAGAATGTTGGCTCTCGCTGGAGGCGCTGTAGCTGAAAGACCTTCGTCCGGTTTTCACCCTTTCAATAAATATCCACACGGTGTATTATTACAGATCGTCTGAGAGAAAGAACTATCAACTCTCGATCGCGCGGGCGAGTTAAAAAAGAATATAAGTGCCACTCAGCTATTAGAACCTCAGATTCGGCGAGTTGGTTGTTGATGTTGGTCGACGTTGCAGCGCATTCAAAACACTTTCACTCAAGTTTTCACGACACAAAAAAATAAATCTCCCACACAGCGCGCACTAACAATACAGAGTTGTTAGTGAGCGCTGTGTGAGAGTGTTATTCCTTTTTGTGTGCGCGTAAAAGGTTGAGTAGCAGAGGCCAGATTCACGAAACGATCTTACGCCAAAAATGTGCGTAAGACAAAACTTAAGAACAAATCCGTATTCACGAAACGAAATTTTCGTAAGTTTTGCGCAGGTTACGACGAAATCCTACGACAGCTCCGAAGCTGTCTTACGCACTTCTTACGATCAAATCAGCATGGCCGACAGCGTCGCTCAGTTGGTCGCGACAACCAGCGGATGTTTATTTTTCTACGTGCGCTTCTCACGCGTCCCGACTTCAAGCAGCAAGAAACAAGTAAAAAGTACTTGAAACAGACCACGACGAACGAACAAGAACGCTGGATCCACAGACACCCGGGAAAGACTCCAAGGGCCACGAGTACGGACTCCGACCGATCGGCGGATAGGCCTAGCAGGCACTCCGACTCGGCGCAGCGATGATCTGACGGTCCTTGGCGAAGACCGTCTGCCCACGAGCGGCTGGCGTGCTGAATGGAATATGCCCGCGCGACCCTTGTGAACCCTTCCCGTATTAGTTTGATCGCTGACCTCAATTCTAGATTAAGAGGTCAATCTCTGCCTCTTGTCATCTCCTTGTTTTCCGAGGCAACGGTGACGAACGCTGTCGTCGAAAAGGGGCTCTCATCGATTCTATCTCTGTTTTGTGTGATATCAAGCTCAAATAAACGCCGTATGGATTACCTTCGCAACATGGTATGTACATTTTGTTATTAGTATTTCATTTTATTCTGACACGACTGCATTTCACTGTCGATCGCTGTAAGAGTTCGTGGGTCGCAATGCCGGTCCAACCTTTCTTCGCCGGGTGTCACGTCAGCATCAAGTTGCAATTGTAAAGGATCGGTCCCGAAGCGCTTATCAATTCGCGGTCCAACAGCGCAAATCCAGCACTTCGATCAAACGCGCGCGTTCGCTCCGTATAGTGTGAACAGGCATTTACGTGGCTCTTGCTTACACTGTCGTAGTTCAAACGTATATTTTTTAACGTCGGCTCGCTCCTGCATCTCCGAGGCCGCAAAAAACGCCGCGGCAATTTGTTCCCCTCTACGTCACTTTGCAAACGACTGCGGGCCGTCTTTTACAAACGATGACAGTTGTGTTGACTTGGTAGCGATCGAGTTCGTAGCAGTCAATGCGGGTGGTTACGCATCCCGGCCTCGGCATTCGGGCGAGTTTAAGTCGTGTTAGCGTATAGAGTTGGTCGTGGTTAGCGTCGACATATCACTGCACGGATACGAACCCCAGACAAGCGGTGGCAGAAAGGCCGCCTGTGTTTGTTATGAAAAATCCACGTGCTCCGAACGGCTCCGAAGGGCTCCGAACAAATGCCGAGCTCTCCGATTGGTTGTTCGTGCTGCCGAAGACGCCGTCGCCATAGCAACAGCACCGGTAAGTTTTAGTTTTTCCTTACGACAACGTCGCTTTCCTCCTCTCACTTAAGAACGCGTTCGTGAATACCGATTTCTCCTCTTCTTACGATGTTCTTAACTTACGAACTTCTTAGCTAAGTTGTCGTAAACTAAGAAGCTCTTCGTGAATCTGGCCTCAGTTTTTTTAGTGCGCTACAACGTCGACCAACCACTCAGCTTGTGCGCTGGCTTTGGCAGTGCTCTCTTTTACATAAATGTAGCTTCGACGCTGTTAAACTGGCCGAAATGTGGATGTCGGAACATGCCGTACCTTGACACAAGTCGATGCTGGCATGTCTTTCGGTTAGGTTCAAGCAGCTAAGAGACTCCAAACTTTGTTCATGACGTTGAAGAATTTGTTTCTGCGTGCTTTTCAGTTTTAGTGTCACGTGATAAATAGAGTCTAAATTTTGTATTAGGAAGAACGAATTAAAACTACCTTTTTTTGAACTACACTAATGTTTAATACCAAATTTAAAACCGTCATCATATTTTTCGTGAGATGTGCCCAAATAAATCAATAAATAGCTAAGGAATAAGTGAAATTGAAGAATTATCACGCTAATTATTGCAGAAGCGTTCTTCCTTACAAACGCTTTCAGTTGAAAAAAAAAATACACGATGCTGTGACCTGATTTTTTAAAACTACCTCCCCGTTATACTTATTTGAATCTCAGACAACACCTCAAAATTTTGATGAACGGCTTCTGGGCCAATAGCTTGAGTTCTGGTACGTTGTGTAGCCTTTGTAGCAAAGTTCACTTTTTGTTTCGGGGCAAATATGCATTAGGGATGGTTATATCTTCCTCTTACTTTTTGGGTTTCCAGCGACCAATGTAGTGAAAGCTACAGTTAGTAAAAGTTTCATAAAACAAACTGAAGACAAATGCGAGTGTCAGAATTTAAAACAGTACAAGGGGCTGGCCGCACTTTTGAAAAGAACGAAGTAATTTGAAGTGTTCTTTGCAACAAAGCGTGTATTTCTGTGAGTATACACTTGTATGTATTAGCACCACTTTGGAAACCCTTTATTTATTGTAAGCACGAGTGTTTCGCAATGGTAATACAAATATTTATGTTGTAAAACTTTTTCTCACGAAATGGTTGGTACTTACGTCAGCGAAATAGAGGTTACCTTATATTTTGTTTCTGAGATTATCGATTTAATAAGGGCCGCTTTGTTTATTTTCGGCCGCTTTTACACATATATCACAAGCTCTGGCTTAATATGGTAGAACCAATTTTTCTCGATGCTTTATGCCTAACAAAGGGTGACTCAGTGTGAGAGCAGAGGATTTGAACACTCAAAATAACTGACATATTGTTTTGTAAATTTGTACGGCTACATGAATAGGTGCTAAATGTGCTTTTTTGCTTCTACAACCGTGCGGTGTCCTTCTGCTCTTCTCGACGTCACTCTATTTTATTTTTGATAAAATAAATTGCGCACAAAACAACGGGTTTAAATCTTTGCCCTCTGTAATCTAATATTGAAAAAAAACAAAACATATTTTAGTATCTTTAAGTAACAGAATGCACTGCATTGTTCAGCTTCGAGTTACCCCCTTCTTGTTTCTCGAGTAGCAGACATGATGTTTGTCAAATATAATTATAGACCGCTTTGTTCTTTCTTTTTAGGAAACTCAGATTCTGCACTTAGTATCTAGGAGTATCTACGAGTATCTACGACCGCAAGGATTTAGACTTCTTTGAATTTCGGTTTCATCTTAAATCCTTCGATTTCTTCGTGCCCCATCGGCCCATACGGCGAGGCGACTCAAAAAGTGGCACTTGATTTTACAACGCGTTTTCATTTTACGGGTGTTGAGTAGCGGTCAGAAAAATACGTGGGCGCACGCTTTCAAAGAATACTCTCTTAGGCTATAGGCTTTACTTTCCTTCGCCTCGTTCATAACGAAATGAATGATAAGGAGCTAGAACGGTATTGATGGCTAGAACCAAATGCACACATCGACGTGATGCCCATTTCGAATTTCCCGAAGCAGCGTCTGCACAGGCCAATAAGATCAAACTCGCAAATTTTCGACAGCTACAAACGCAGAGGTTGAGCGTCCACCAAAAAGCCCCGTTTGCTACCACGTCGGGAGGATAAACAGGGCAGTGAATATTCGGCCGGAGAGGCCAGAACACTTCGCCTTCGTGTAGATAAAAAATTGACGCACTTTAAAAAAGTGGTCTCGTTTCCCAAGCTATTTGAATAGGCAAAAAGAGAGAAAGAGAGAGTTGCGATGGGCCTATCAAGTTAAGCCACTTAGGTCTAGAAGAGAGAGAAATAAAAAATGGCGCTGACGTCTTTCATGTCGGTGCACTTACCGCCTTGGAATAGCATTAAAACATTATCCTGCACTTTTTTGTTTCATTTTCTCGCGCCTTAAACTAACGCTTTCCACCTCTACTTGATTGTAAGGATTTAAGACTTCGTGTGAAAGCCTACGCGAGCAATGAGAAAAAAGAAAAAGACGAGGGGAAGCACCGCAACGCGAACAAAATATCGGGTCCCGCCCGAACGCGAAAGTTTGAGGATGTGGAAGGAACGTAAGCCCCCGAGGCTCAGGGTAGTCTTAGAGAGGTGTGGCGAGCTGAAGTGGCTTTCGTCGTCTCTCTTACAGGGTGTCATCCAGCGTCGCTCGCACCACGACCCAGGGAATGATGAACAACACGGGGAGGCCTGAAATAGAAGGAACACTAACTTGGTCACACCTGACCAGATCGTAATCCGTGGGATACGTTTTGGGTCGGTAAATCTGACTGAAATCATTCGAGCTCCGAGACTCGTACGAGGACATCCGACGAGAACGCCATTGGTGGTCGCTAAGTCACACGGGTTCTTACTCCACTCATTGGGAGAGCGCCCCAACCCGAGATGAAGTACTGCTGCGGCTGTGACAATTAAAGTGGAAATCTAAATCGACATAAAATGCGCGACGACTTTAGCACAAAGACGAGGTGGCCGGTTCTTCCGATATTTTATCTAAAATCTAAGGGACGCGATCAAAAATACTCTGGTGGGGGAAAGTGACCCCTTAGAACACTTATCTAATAAATAAATCGTGGTGCCAGATAAAAGCAGCTCAAAAAAGAAAGTTAAAAAAAATCGCACATGTCGGGTGTTTGTGGTAAGAGTTTCGAGCAGAGTAATACGTGAGCGACAACCGCTCAGTTTTGCGGACCATGTACTGAGTGCTCAATTTAGCAATTTGTTCGTGTGGCACTTTTGAGTTATGGTGGTAAGTGCAAAGTTAGGACGTTAGGTGTTAAAGGACGTTAGGTGAAAAATAAAATTTACAGTGGTAGCTATTTTAATAATGCTCTCACATCACTTGATGAAATAGGTGGCATTAGGTCGCCCGGCTAATATTATTTTGGCGATTATATTGAATTCCGAACAGAATATTTTTTTTTCATTTCTGAACATTGAGTAAAATGCACCGACTGTTGCAATGCGAATTCAATGAGGACCAGAAAGGAACGCTGTGTACCTTAGCGTTTATACCGGAGACGAAAGTGCCAAAGGCATTCATAGATACAACAATCTCCCGAACCTTTTGGAAGAATATGTCTGTCTCAATTTCTGGCAATTTATTTATTAAGGTGGCAGCGCGCTGATTAGATTTCAATATACAGCAGCTTCTTTGAAAGGCACTAGCTTAAGGGAAACGCTAATTTATATAATAAATTACAAGTATTAAGGTGCCTAGAATAGGCTTTTAGGTCAATTTGAAATAGATTTTAATATGTGACAGCTTCTCTGAAAGACACTGTATTAAACATATATCATTTATATCATAAGTAAAAAATGTCAAAGTGCCTGGGTGATGACTTTACGTCAACGGAATGGTGCACCAGGCCTTGACAGCGACGATAATTTCGTATTAAAATCTGATACCTTCTTTATTAACAAAACAAAACGAAATTGAACGTTCCTGTTCACACACACAGCCAGTATCTCGGCATATCATTCCCTTCTAAGGCGCACATTGATAAATTTTTTGACTTGTGGCGACGTAGGTGTAGGGTTTATTACCCGAAACTTACATCGCCACGAAGCAAAATATTATACAAGGGCAAGCGCTGACCAGAGTAGTTACGTCGCGTATTGCATTGCTCTCATATATGACTATCACAGTAACCTATTCTATTTTATGCCAACTCACAAGTGACCAGGAGCTGTTGCAATTTGGCACAAATCAAATTTACATGAATAGCAAAATGAATCACAATGCGATAAATTATGCACATATTTCTTGCATTGTTATTTGATATTTTTTATGCTAATTCACTGCGGCCCTGGCTTCTTAAATTTTCTCTGTGTGCGCGACGTTTCTCCAAATTGGGCTGCATATAATGCAGACTTTTATTTTTGAAACACCGCGAAGGTGTTCTCTTTAAATCTTACATCTCTATCGCATTAGATCGCATTTTACCCTAAATAATCGCTAAAGCTAGCTTTAGATAAAGCTAGCTTTAGCGATGAAATGTAAGTTGCTTGTGTCGGGCTTTGGGGAAATGGCGTATCGAGGTATCGCAAACACCTACTCCTATTTAAAGTTTTGTTTTCCGAACACCTTGATGAATCAGTGTGTTCAACATCACTAGGCAGTGTCCATTGTTCGATAAGTGAGCTTCTTTATATGTTGAAAATAGTTTGAGAATGGTCGAGAGTGTATTACCCTGCTTTGTATCAAAATATGTTCGAGAACAACGAACGCTTCGGGCCCATGGAGCTAATCAATTAACGCGATGAGCGAAATGTCTCGGTGATCGGAATCTCTCAGTTCTGGTGCAGTCATTGGCTGAACCATCCACCTTCAGTGATTACGCCACGATCATGCGTTTTTATTACGCTTGTTCGCGCTTTTATGTTTTCAAGTCTTTGATTGCGCTCTGACCTTTTGTGAAATATAGTTTAGTTACTCTGCGAGCCGCACACACCAAGTATATAGCGATACTTCTGTAGCGGTTTTCACGGAGGTATAATAACTTATAAAAAGCACCTATATTAAAATTAACAATTTACGGAAATTAAAACAAATTGCATTATTTAATTTATAAATATGCTACTCCCTATTTAAATATCCAATCATGCATTTTTTTGTTGCAGATGTGTAATAAGTTATAAAAAAACATTGAATAAACAAAAAATATACAGAAATTAAAAAAAAAAAATCTTGGTTTCTTTTTTATATTGGATACTCTAATGCGATTAATTCAAAATGTCTTGAACGAAGATACCTGATATGCTTTCGTATTTTTTTTAAAAGAATCTGGAGGTGAAACAGTGCATGCAAAAAGGCTGAGCATTCTAAGTTAGGAGTGTCCCGTCGAAGATTCTCAACCCAGACTGTGAGGTGTCCCACTATATCCTTCGGAACGCTTTGGGTGAAAGAGCTCCTGCAGTCGCGACGCGTTACATAAGTAAGAGGTCAGACGTTCATAAAATGTTATGACTAGTTTTGTGCAGGCTCCAGATAAAGGTATGCCTGTTTAAAATTGTCCCGATCATATTGTTCGTTACGTGCTGCAATAATGACACCGGATATACCAACGCGACTTTTTACTGCAAATACTGTAAGACAAAATTATTTTAGTGTTAGCATCCGAGTAAATACATTTTTAGAGCCCAGCTCTTAAGCGCCTGTTTCTCTGTGCAACAGCGTCGGCGTCGCCGTCGCCGTCGGTGCGAGCGTAACCGAGCGGTGAATTATGGGAAGTCACAGACCTACACACCAATTTTCCGCTAAATTAAGCGAAGAAATTGAATAGGTCTGTACGTCTGTGACGTCAGCTACTGCAACATTGCACGTTCAGTTTCCACGCTAAATTAAGCGGAAAATTGAATTGTTGAGGTCACGTGACGTCAGTTTTACAGCTAAATCTAGCGGAGAAAGTGAATTTGTTTATATATGACGTGACACGAAGTCATGTGACATCAGTTTCCTGCTAAAGTTAGCGAGGAAACTGAATTGATGTTGAGTTCACGTGTCCTCAATTTTTCAGCTTAATTTAGAGGAAAAGGTGTGAGAGAAAGGGGTGTGGGGGAGAAGAAGGGGAGTTTACGCAGGAGGAGGAGAGGAAGGTTCGGAGTAGGTGGAGGAGGCAATGCGGAGGAGGAGGAGAAAAAAGATGAGGGGAGGAGGAGGAAACGAGGGTGGGAGAAGTAGGAGGAGGGCAGGAGAAGAGAAGGAAAGGAGAGGAGGCGTAGCAGCGGAAAAGGGGAGGGGGACAGGAGGAGGGGAGGGTACGAAAGAGGAGGAGGGGCATACCGCCGTCTGTACCCTCCCCTTTCCTCCTTAAGAGCTGCGCTCTAATTTTGCATTATAGAGATTTGCAAACATCTTTCATTTTTTTGCGCAAATAATGAAGGATTTTTTTCAGATCTGGTGCTTTCTACATTGACTAACGCTTTTTTATAGAGAATGTTAAGGCGCGCCTTTGTTTATCTATAAAGTAGAACGCTTTTTGAAGGCACATTTTAAATTTATGTTTGAATATTCTGAAACACCTGTTTGACATTATAGTGATTTCGTTATCACAGCGTATGACATTTAGAAATGCTAACCCCTAAAACAATAAATATAAATATAATTTACATTGTGTTAGAGCGATACCAGCCATTCGAAGCATCCGAACACTCCAAGGTTCTCAATTATCTCCCGGCCGCACCTTGACATTTATAAAAAAAGAACGAAGATTTCAAGGATGCGAGTAACAGTCTCAGAAATGCTATTGAGAAACTCTCGCAATATAACACAAACTCTCGCAATATCAGCTTCTAAAAATAAAGCTTACCCCAGCCGAGTGCCACGTAGCGTAAAATCCCCGAACTGTCAGTGAAGAAGGCGAGGAAGACGAGACTGTGCAGATACAGTCCCTCCATGAGGATCCAGGAGTAGTTGGCCATAAGCACATAGTGCCAGAAGCTCGTGAACACCTTGCAGTCCACGTTCTGAAACACACCAGCACTAAGATAAAATATACATTTGCGGTTTCCTTCCAGACAGATGCAGAACCCCTCCTTTCTGCAAGGAAGGTAAACTGCTTAATCTTATAATCCTCGTCTAGGTTCCGTTTTGGTGGGACTCGCATTCAGTCAGCGAGGACAGGAGTACTATATGAACACTGAGGCAGCAGTCGTGTCTAGTTTGTGTAATGCGCTGGAATACAGAAAGTAACGTAAAAAAACAGGGTCGTGTTTCAGTGGTGCTTCGGTGCAGATTACGATGAAATGCGATAGCATTGGAGATCTTTCGTATAAACAATACATTCCGCTGGACAAGCATTGCACACTCTCATCTGGCGTCTCCTTGGCCCGGCAGTAAGCATGGTAGGAATCATCATGCCGCCGCTTCTTTTTTCCTCTCTCCATTTCAGTGTAAGTAATGGCACGTGCGTAGAGGAGCGGGCAGCCGACGCGGTTTTTAAAAAGCCTACACTAGTTGGAATCCCACCAAATAACTGTTTCACTTTACTTTTGCCCTGGTTTTGTTCACTAATCTCTTCTTCACACTGCTCGTTCCTTTTGCGATGCAATGTGAAAGTAGCGGCGCATCCAGCTAGCACCTTGTCTTGCGGCCCGTGCTTGCGTGCGATAAACAGAGGAGAAGGAAGGGGTAAAATATTTTCTTGTAAAAGACGTGAATCCAAAAGAAAACAAAATTAAATATGTTTTTTACACTTTTAAAGTAAATACACTAATACAAAAAGCTTGCCTTCACAATGTAAATAACCAAATACTGGGCCCAGTGCCTCAAAGCATGGAAAGCTGTAAGTGATGCTCAATATCTTTTTGAGAAAAGAAGCTACAGAAGATTGGAGCCCTGGCATTTGCGCTTTGAGCGCGGCAAAACGATCAATACCATGGAGGTGGTTTCATAAAACAATTTCTGTACATATCTCAAAGTACGTCCAAGAGTTTGGCGAATAGCTGACGTAAATTTGTTTCCCTAACTTGCAATTATTACTCAACTAACGGAATCTTTCGCGGTAACGCAAATAAACATGCTGTCTGAAATATTTTTTGGGTTCCGCTCTTGTGTGCGTTTGTGTTTTTCTAATAAAATGTTAATGTATAAGTCTCCTTTCTTCATATATCGCGTTTCTTGTCCCATCTACGTAGTTAAAACAGCACGGACGTTTTCAAGATGCGTCCGTGTTTTTCGAGCTAATAAAATCATCATTACATATGTGTGGGCTCCCATTCTATTAATATCAACGTAAATTTTTTTAATCAATTACTTTAGTGCTCTGAGCTTGCTAATTTAGTTAAAGGAACCACACCTAGTTGCTTTGAATACATGTAATGTCTTAACAAAATCATTTTATTAAAAAACAAAAAAAACTTTAAAGCTCGCTAGATACTACTGAAAGAAGTCGAAATGTCCCGCTAGCAGCTACATTGAATTTTAACTCGCTAAAGGAGCATCCAAAACGGCTAAGAATGGTGGGAAAAGAGATAAGTTGGCAACACTGCCGTACAATGCTCTTGTCAGAGCTAAGAGTGAGAGTATTGCTAGAACAGAAAAATAGAAAAGCTGGAATCCATTTTTAATAAATAATAACACGGAACCTTCAGGCTTACTTTAAAACCAATTTGCACATACCAGTACGCTGGAGGCATACGCCTCGAAAACACGAGAAGGCTTCGCCCCAAAGTACATAGCCACTTCGAAATTGAGCGAAGATACAGATCGATCCAATCGTTTCTGGACGACCACCTCCTGCGAAGCGTGCTTCACCCCTTCATAGCGTTTAGTGTGGGGAAGCTTACTTCAGGACGCGGAGGAAGCGTACGTGAGCAGCTGCCTTGAACAAATGCTGAGGCTAGGTGCAGTTCAGAGCCTGCAACGGACATGAATCTGCCTGAAAGGATCTAAATATTTGATCAGTGATGCGTTAAAGTTAGAAGAAGCGCCAGCTTTAGATCGTGCGAGATCAGAACGAGAAAACAAATAGGACAAGAGATACAGCAAGAGAGGGATCGAATATTTAGTACTCTCAAAACAGGTGCACAATCACTGGGTTTGTTGCAACGGCGGCTAGTCTCGAAATAGAAAAATGGCGACAGAAACCAAAAAAAAAAACTGCTAACAGAGAAAATCCTAGTGAACGAGTTGTACAAGAGGTAAAAATATCAACCTAGTAAAATGATGGCGGTGCAAGCGAAGCGGATGCTTGTTGATCGATCCTCCGTGGGGAATTTGAAGAAAAGAAGCTTTCTGGGTGGTTGCAGCCGTGGGACATAAGTACTAAACGTTCCAAAACCGGAAAATTGAATCGAATATAGCGGAGGATAGCGAAATTTTTACTGTATGAAATATAACACTTCCAGACAAGAAACGCGAATACTTTATCTGGATACAAGAGATTATTTTAGGTTTTGAGCCGGAAGAATCGCCGCTTTTTTTTTTTCGCCGTTTAAAACAGCCTGCTTTTTACTCCGGTAATTTCATTCGTCGTCATGACTGAATTTTATAACCACAAACATGTGTACAACAATATAGCATTCAGCGCACAATCGAGAGATTTATGGAACAGGACACGAGCAGTTATAGTCTGAACGGAGATACACAATCATCAACACTTCAACAAGCGACTGCCTTAACCCCAACTCTAATGAAACAGATACCTCTTTGTACTAAGTAGAGTGTGCATCTGTAAAGTAACTATATAAAGTACTTCGTTTATAAACCGTTAAATGAAGTATCTACACAGCTTAATCCTCGAATACGGAATATTACGTTAACACCCCATAACGCTTTACATTTCCAGAGAAATTCGTTCCTTGCTCGTTATTATCAATGCATTCGCATTTCTAAGGCCACATAAACCATGAAATTAAATTCGCCTATTCGTCACGGCTTACATCTAGATTTAAAAGGAAATCGTGAATTTGTGTGTACTCAGACACATATTAGATTTTCTCGCTAAAGTATCCGCTTTATGTAGATCGGGTGCTTAAGTTAGTGTATACATTAATTTAATGTTCTGCTCAATATAGTGCGCAGCATTTTCCGCTACATTTGACAGTAAAACCAGAACCGGTGTATAAATGCGCACAAATTCAATTTGCCAATAATTGACGTTGAAAAATCGGCGGACTGATGCAGACCGAGAGCGCCAAACGGCGGATATCTGAAGAGGTGTAAAAATTCCAAATGCTGTCGCATCTTATGTCTTTTGGCAGATAAAAAGAGAAATGTTTTGGTTTCTTTTGTAAGTCTTAGAGTACTGCGTTCCTAACTTATGGTGTGCTATTGAGATGGTGAGGAGCTACGAAAAACAATGCGAGTTGTTACGCGCTCAAGCTTCCGTATATTTTGTCGCTCACCTCTTCGTTGAAGTCCACGTTAGTCGAAAGTCCGACGCCGTCGACAAAGAGTGCATCCTTAAGCAGGAATGCCAGCGCCCTCAGGATGAAGGAAATGAACAAATGCATGTGTAGGCTGTTCCGGGGACAGCGGAGCCTCCTGAAACGCATGGGAAAAATACTCTACCCTAAATGTTTGACTTACAAAAAAAAAAAAAAAAAAAAAAAAAAAAACAGGCGTGTCCTTGAAATGCGAGAAAAAAACTTTTCTAGAGAAGCACTGACAATACATTCGCTTGCGCAGATGTACTACACGTGCCACTGCTCACCGGTCAATCTTTGAAGATTCAGCATATTCAGGTTTATGAGAACAGAAAATTTGATCACATAATGAAACGTACTGTGAGAGGTAGTAAAGCCATGCTATGAACTTGTTGATAACAAAACACATAAACTTTTGACAATGTGATGAGATTTTTACAGCGTGAATATCAGCGATATAAGCTCATATTAGAGTGCAGAAAATAACTCATACAAATGATTTTGAATCAGATTATTTATAATTTGTAACTAAAGCACATAGTTGTATTATTACTTTCAGAATATAAAAAACAACAGAGTTTTGTGAAGTTTATTTTGTAGCGAATAATATTGCATGGTCCCAAATATTAAATGCATATTATTCAATACATTAGTAGCTTATAAAAACCGTTTTTTTGAAATATTAAAAATGCCATGCGATACGTTGTGACAAGTCATGGAAAAGTCCTCGCTAATAGAAATTACAAGAAACGAGGCATCTCATTTATTTTACTTATTTTAAGAAATACTACTTTAAGAAAAAATATTGTAATGTTATTTCAAATGAAGAATAGCGTTGAGGCTAGCCGGTCTTACTTGATGGAAGCCAGGATGAGAAAGGCGGCTAGGAGCGTCACCACGGACACTGTGTAGCACACCTTGGAAATGAGCTTGATGGTCGGCAGGTGGGGCTGCAATCAGTAACCGCAACAACAAAGACGTTGAGAGGGGCCCCTGTGTTCAACCTTTCATTGAATATCTTCACGCTACATTTCCAGTTTTAGGTGTATTAAAAATGAACCTACTGGTGTAAATAGCAGACCGTCCAAAACCTGGTCTTTCATTTTTGAATGAGTATGGATTACCTTAGATGTTTAAGTTTATTTTGACGTGGTAGTTAGGCTTTTCAGTAACGAATGCTCTTATTTATGATCCACTCGCTGCAGTACAGCAATTTTTAGATTAGTCCATAATAGTTTAACGAGAAAATTTTATACATAGATATCGATAAAATGCGATCCGTTGAGTCGCCTTCCTTTGGAACGAGCCTGCTTAATTTTGTAATACGTACACTCAAACCCATTCGAACCTCATATGACACTAGATGATTGCCATGGAGGGGTGCAATAGACAAATGGAATTAGGATTATTAATCTTTCAAATACTGTAGAAGAGGCTGCCTATAAGATTTACGAAATGTCTCATATTTCGTAGTGCATTAGCAATAATGTGCTGCAGCCTCCCTCATTTTAGTCCTAGACTCCACTCTTCGATACATCATGTCCGCAACTCAGTAAGTAAGGTTGACGGTGAATGCCACAGAACCGCGTGCTTGGGTTATTTTCATTAATTTATTTCTTCTTTAAGGCGCGATGGGACATTAAATATAAAAATCGTGTGGGCAAGAATAATATATAACCTTGAAACACAAAAACAAAATAAAACAAAAATATATACAATATTATTACAAATTGCGTTCAGCGACAACCTACCCACGCAGCACCGAGTTTTGGGCCAAAACTTGGCTTGCGCCTGGGAGTTTAGGGCATTGAAAAACCCGAAGAAGCCAAAGTAGAGCGAAACCTGACCTCCCTTGGCAACAGTCTAGGTATTTTGGCCCTAATTCGCCAAACAAGTGCCAAACTTGGCTTCACTGCCTGGTAGTTCGACTGTCATCTGGCATCTTTGGGCCTACGTCGCCTAACAAATGCCACATTTAGGCTTACTGCCCGGTAGTTCGGCAGATCTTTGGCATTTTTGGGCCAAAATCACCAAACTAATGCCAAAGTTAGGCTTCACTTTTTGATAGTTCGGCTGTCACCTGGCGCATCCGGGCCAAAATTGCCACAGATGCGCCAGAGTTAGGCCTACTACCTTGTAGTTCGGTTGACATCTGGCATCTTTGGGCCCAAGTCGCCAAACTAGTGCCCACTTTAGGCTTCGCTTCCCGATAGTTCGGCTGTCATCTGGCAGCTACGGGCCAAAGTCGCCAAACAAGTGCCAAAGATAGGCTTCGCTTCCCGATAGTTCGGCTGTCATCTGGCAGCTACGAGCCAAAGTCGCCAAACAAGTGCCCAAGTTAGGCTTCGCTTCCCGATAGTTCGGCTGTCATCTGGCAGCTACGGGCCAAAGTCGCCAAACAAGTGCCAAAGTTAGGCTTCGCTTCCCGATAGTTCGGCTGTCATCTGGCAGCTACGTGCCAAAGTCGCCAAACAAGTGCCCAAGTTAGGCTTCGCTTCCCGATAGTTCGGCTGTCATCTGGCAGCTACGGGCCAAAGTCGCCAAACAAGTGCCAAAGTTAGGCTTCGCCTCCCCATAGTTCGGCTGTCATCTGGCAGCTACGGGCCAAAGTCGCCAAACTAGTGCCCAAGTTAGGCTTCGCTTCCCGATAGTTCGGCTGTCATCTGGCAGCTACGGGCCAAAGTCGCCAAACAAGTGCCAAAGTTAGGCTTCGCTTCCCGATAGTTCGGCTGTCATCTGGCAGCTACGGGCCAAAGTCGCCAAACTAGTGCCCAAGTTAGGCTTCGCTTCCCGATAGTTCGGCTGTCATCTGGCAGCTACGGGCCAAAGTCGCCAAACAAGTGCCAAAGATAGGCTTCGCTTCCCGATAGTTCGGCTGTCATCTGGCAGCTACGGGCCAAAGTCGCCAAACAAGTGCCAAAGTTAGGCTTCGCTTCCCGATAGTTCGGCTGTCATCTGGCAGCTACGGGCCAAAGTCGCCAAACAAGTGCCAAAGTTAGGCTTCGCTTCCCGATAGTTCGGCTGTCATCTGGCAGCTACGTGCCAAAGTCGCCAAACAAGTGCCCAAGTTAGGCTTCGCTTCCCGATAGTTCGGCTGTCATCTGGCAGCTACGGGCCAAAGTCGCCAAACAAGTGCCAAAGTTAGGCTTCGCCTCCCCATAGTTCGGCTGTCATCTGGCAGCTACGGGCCAAAGTCGCCAAACTAGTGCCCAAGTTAGGCTTCGCTTCCCGATAGTTCGGCTGTCATCTGGCAGCTACGGGCCAAAGTCGCCAAACAAGTGCCAAAGTTAGGCTTCGCTTCCCGATAGTTCGGCTGTCATCTGGCAGCTACGGGCCAAAGTCGCCAAACTAGTGCCCAAGTTAGGCTTCGCTTCCCGATAGTTCGGCTGTCATCTGGCAGCTACGGGCCAAAGTCGCCAAACAAGTGCCAAAGTTAGGCTTCGCTTCCCGATAGTTCGGCTGTCATCTGGCAGCTACGGGCCAAAGTCGCCAAACTAGTGCCCAAGTTAGGCTTCGCTTCCCGATAGTTCGGCTGTCATCTGGCAGCTACGGGCCAAAGTCGCCAAACAAGTGCCAAAGTTAGGCTTCGCTTCCCGATAGTTCGGCTGTCATCTGGCAGCTACGGGCCAAAGTCGCCAAACTAGTGCCCAAGTTAGGCTTCGCTTCCCGATAGTTCGGCTGTCATCTGGCAGCTACGGGCCAAAGTCGCCAAACTAGTGCCCAAGTTAGGCTTCGCTTCCCGATAGTTCGGCTGTCATCTGGCAGCTACGGGCCAAAGTCGCCAAACTAGTGCCCAAGTTAGGCTTCGCTTCCCGATAGTTCGGCTGTCATCTGGCAGCTACGGGCCAAAGTCGCCAAACTAGTGCCCAAGTTAGGCTTCGCTTCCCGATAGTTCGGCTGTCATCTGGCAGCTACGGGCCAAAGTCGCCAAACTAGTGCCCAAGTTAGGCTTCGCTTCCCGATAGTTCGGCTGTCATCTGGCAGCTACGGGCCAAAGTCGCCAAACAAGTGCCAAAGTTAGGCTTCGCTTCCCGATAGTTCGGCTGTCATCTGGCAGCTACGGGCCAAAGTCGCCAAACTAGTGCCCAAGTTAGGCTTCGCTTCCCGATAGTTCGGCTGTCATCTGGCAGCTACGGGCCAAAGTCGCCAAACTAGTGCCCAAGTTAGGCTTCGCTTCCCGATAGTTCGGCTGTCATCTGGCAGCTACGGGCCAAAGTCGCCAAACTAGTGCCCAAGTTAGGCTTCGCTTCCCGATAGTTCGGCTGTCATCTGGCAGCTACGGGCCAAAGTCGCCAAACTAGTGCCCAAGTTAGGCTTCGCTTCCCGATAGTTCGGCTGTCATCTGGCAGCTACGGGCCAAAGTCGCCAAACTAGTGCCCAAGTTAGGCTTCGCTTCCCGATAGTTCGGCTGTCATCTGGCAGCTACGGGCCAAAGTCGCCAAACTAGTGCCCAAGTTAGGCTTCGCTTCCCGATAGTTCGGCTGTCATCTGGCAGCTACGGGCCAAAGTCGCCAAACAAGTGCCAAAGTTAGGCTTCGCTTCCCGATAGTTCGGCTGTCATCTGGCAGCTACGGGCCAAAGTCGCCAAACTAGTGCCCAAGTTAGGCTTCGCTTCCCGATAGTTCGGCTGTCATCTGGCAGCTACGGGCCAAAGTCGCCAAACTAGTGCCCAAGTTAGGCTTCGCTTCCCGATAGTTCGGCTGTCATCTGGCAGCTACGGGCCAAAGTCGCCAAACTAGTGCCCAAGTTAGGCTTCGCTTCCCGATAGTTCGGCTGTCATCTGGCAGCTACGGGCCAAAGTCGCCAAACTAGTGCCCAAGTTAGGCTTCGCTTCCCGATAGTTCGGCTGTCATCTGGCAGCTACGGGCCAAAGTCGCCAAACTAGTGCCCAAGTTAGGCTTCGCTTCCCGATAGTTCGGCTGTCATCTGGCAGCTACGGGCCAAAGTCGCCAAACTAGTGCCCAAGTTAGGCTTCGCTTCCCGATAGTTCGGCTGTCATCTGGCAGCTACGGGCCAAAGTCGCCAAACTAGTGCCCAAGTTAGGCTTCGCTTCCCGATAGTTCGGCTGTCATCTGGCAGCTACGGGCCAAAGTCGCCAAACAAGTGCCAAAGTTAGGCTTCGCTTCCCGATAGTTCGGCTGTCATCTGGCAGCTACGGGCCAAAGTCGCCAAACTAGTGCCCAAGTTAGGCTTCGCTTCCCGATAGTTCGGCTGTCATCTGGCAGCTACGGGCCAAAGTCGCCAAACTAGTGCCCAAGTTAGGCTTCGCTTCCCGATAGTTCGGCTGTCATCTGGCAGCTACGGGCCAAAGTCGCCAAACTAGTGCCCAAGTTAGGCTTCGCTTCCCGATAGTTCGGCTGTCATCTGGCAGCTACGGGCCAAAGTCGCCAAACTAGTGCCCAAGTTAGGCTTCGCTTCCCGATAGTTCGGCTGTCATCTGGCAGCTACGGGCCAAAGTCGCCAAACAAGTGCCAAAGTTAGGCTTCGCTTCCCGATAGTTCGGCTGTCATCTGGCAGCTACGGGCCAAAGTCGCCAAACTAGTGCCCAAGTTAGGCTTCGCTTCCCGATAGTTCGGCTGTCATCTGGCAGCTACGGGCCAAAGTCGCCAAACTAGTGCCCAAGTTAGGCTTCGCTTCCCGATAGTTCGGCTGTCATCTGGCAGCTACGGGCCAAAGTCGCCAAACAAGTGCTAAAGTTAGGCTTCGCTACCCGATAGTTCGGCTGTCATCTGGCAGCTACGGGCCAAAGTTGCCAAACAAGTGCCAGAACTTGGCTTACTGCCTTGGAGTTTGGCTGATGAGGTATTTGATGTACGCGGGTGGTCTTCATATTAATTAAACAGAAATCAAGTCTTATTCGGCTGGCAACTTTATCTTATTTTGGGTGTCCCTTGATTTCCCCAGACCAAAGGTTGGCTGAATGTTTTGACACGGCTGGACCAGGCTTTGC